TCTGCTTGATGTGGGGCAGAGCAAAGTGGAGCCCTCCAGATGTTGCCCTGACTACGGCTCCCATCAGTTGTAGCCAACAGAGCCAATAATGAGGACTTGAGAGAATTATAGTCTAACGATATCTGGAAGCCCACATTTAGCCCATCCCCTGGCTTAGTGGCTTGTTTACATAGGAGTTAGAAGGAGCAGGAAAAATTATTCTGGCTCATGGAGATGATGAAACAGCACAAATAGAATTGTAATCTATTGCTCACAAATAAATAGCATGGGAATACTGTATGCCCTGGGACTTATCATACACTGATCCAAAAGAAAGAAGACAAAGCAGGAGATAAAGATACCACTGGCAGTGTCAGATTGGTAAGAATTAGAGGCAGTGGTGTTTCTGTACATACAGTACAAGAATTCCAGGTATCAGTTTTGGTCCATGCGGGTATAATAGTGCAGCAGGATAATAGGTTTCCAAGAAGAAACCAAAATGCTACAGAAGTGCTAATAAACGTTTGTGTTCTACAAAACTCTTAGTTAGGTGGGGTGCTCAACAAAACAAGGGGGGCTGGTTTGCAATATGTGCCACTCTTTACATGGGTGTATATGGTGTCCGACTGCCTCAGCTTGTTTTTTTTTTTAAATTCTGCTGGAGATTCAGCCCTACCAAAAAGTCTGGAGATGATGGAAGCTTATTCATGAGTTTACGCTTTGGCTGATTCCTTTATTTTAAAAAAAAGTATTGCAACACTAAGCTTTTGATGGCAATCACAGCTCTACCGGAGTTTGTATCAGGAGTATACAATGCTAGTACAATAACATTCTCTAACTTGATTTTGTCCAGATGTTTTGGGCAATAGCTCCCATCATTCCTGGTCAGTATCTAAGCTGGTTAATGGGAGTTGTAGGTCAAGGAAGGCACTAGACTGGAAAAAGATGGGGTTTTAAGTAGTCATTGGACTTCAGATATCTGCCACCTTTCGTCCACAAGCACTTTCTGTCATATACCAAGAAGTAATACATTTTGAATAATGTGTTACTTTGACGGGGTAATGGATATTATGGTGTTTCATTTCTTAAACACAGCAGAGTAAATTGTAACACATTGTAAATGTAATGAGTAAAATTATTTTTCTCTTGTTATTTCTTGAGACTAGAAATGCTTTCTTGAAAGATTCTGAAGACCTTACCTCAGGAGTGGGGAAACACATTTAGGGCTAGTTTACATAGGTGTTTTTTGTACTTTTGTACTTTTAAGAATTGTCTAAGTGATGGAAATATAGAAGTAACACCACAAGAGCAGCAATTAAGGATTAAACCTCTGATAAAGACTTGGAGGTGCAGAGGATTTGTAAAGGGCAAAACCAGGTAAAAATGTCTGAAGAAAGGGAAGTAGTCTCCTTAGGCATCGTCTGGAGGGGCAAGAGCTGGCTACAGTTCGAGATGATGAACATCTGTTGTCTGGCAGCTCACTCTGGGTTTTTTTTTTACCTCAGGACTGGACCCCCCACCTGTCTCCAGAGAATATCCCTGCCAGCTGCCATCCTACCTTGGCCTTTGTAGCACCGCCCTCTGCGTCCCACTCCTCCCTCCGCCTTCCAAGAACCTATGAATCTGAGGGCATGTTCCAGCTCTGGAGCAATGAGATGCCACCAGGTTCCCACACGGGCATGGCTTTGGGGCTGCACAAGATGTCCTATCACGGGCAGATGGCACCCAGCAGTGGCAGCAACGGCCCTGCCCACGAACTGCCGCTGACGCCACCTGCCGAGCCCACCTACTCCTTTGAGCTGTCCTCGGTCAAGATGCTGGCACCGGCCGTGACGCCCACCTACGCCTTCTCCGAGGCCCAGGATTTTTCCAGCTTTTTACAAGGCCCTCGGCCTTTGGGCCCCGCTGCTCCTCCAGGCGCCGGCTCTGTCGACGACACTCCTTGGTGGAGCCTGCAGCAGCCGAGCAACTTCTCTCTGGGCCGGTCCCTGGTCCTGAGCCCCCAGCCACCCCTGGCTGCCCTCCTGCAGGGCACGCCGAAAGGGCTGCTGGGCACAGCTCGGCGCTGTCGCCGCTGTAAATGTCCCAACTGCCAGGCAGCCAGCGGGGCCAACGAGGAGTCGGGCCGGAAGAAGCAACACATCTGCCACATGCCAGGCTGCGGCAAGGTGTACGGCAAAACGTCCCACTTGAAGGCCCACCTCCGCTGGCACGCTGGCGAGCGCCCCTTCATCTGCTCCTGGCTTTACTGTGGGAAGAGCTTCACCCGCTCCGACGAGCTGCAGAGGCACCTCCGGACGCACACGGGCGAGAAGCGCTTTGGCTGCCAGCTGTGCCCCAAGCGGTTCATGCGAAGCGACCACTTGGCCAAGCATGTCAAGACCCACCAGGGGAAGCGTGTGAGGGGCGTGGCAGTGATGGCGGCCAACGTCGGCATCAAGCAAGAATAACTCTGAGGAAACGAAAGAGCTGGATGGGGAAGGGATCCAGGGAGCCACCAGAAGATGACAATGGGCTAGTTGAGCTGCTTTCTTTTGCCCCCAACATTCTGGGAATTGGAGGTATAATGGAAATTGGTCAATTAGAAATCCATATGCTCTTCCTCCCAGAATTACATTCCCTGGGAAGACCGGGCGATCCTGTTCCTTACCAAGAGTCCCTCTTCCAACCTTTTGAATGTGAGAACATCAGAGTGGTCAAGGAGGAGGCCCAAACCTTTTTTGTTGCTTGAGCAACAAGCTTGCCCCCACCCCTTATGGAATTCCATGTGTGAATGCCTGACAACTGCCTCTTATTTTGGTAGTGGTGACAGGACATTCTCCCCCTCCACTAGGTGGCAGTAGGGTAGCTTAAGGAGCATTAGAGCAGATGAGCAGCTCAGTTGATCCTTTGCTCCTTGGCATTTGTTGTCTGAGTTGGCTATCTCGCTTTGCTTAATGGAAAGACTGGTCCTGGTAGTTAAAAGAGGATTAATGCAGACTGAGTGACCCTGAAAGTTCACCCAAAGATATATAGCACGTACAAACACAATCGAGGCATAAACAGATAAATAATAATAATACTGTAGTCTTAGAACTGCAGAGCTAGAAGGGATCCTAAGGATCAAGTCCGGCCCTTATCAAGGAAGCACAGTGGGAAATCGAACTCCCAACGGGATGTCTAAACTACTGTGCTAAATGCAACAATGATGAATTTTCAGAAGCATAAAGATATATTAGCAGTCAGCTAGCGTTAATATCCAAAAGGCTGCACATGAGTGCAGACTCAGAGAGTTCATACTGACACATGAACACTAAGGCAAGTGTTCTGGGAGAAAAGCTGCTCCTATCGCATGATGGCTCCATAGGAACTATAAGGATGCTGGTGGGCAATTTCCTCCCTGCCCTCTTCTTCCCACCAGACACATAAATTCACATCATTACCATAAGAAATTCTGTGAGCCTAAACCTTAGCAAATGGTGTCTAGGAATTTGAAATGTTTTCTTCCCCTTCCTTTGTATTGTCCCTTCTATGTTGGCACCGAAATATCTGATGTCACATCGTGGAATATGAATTTTTTTTCAGTCCTCTTTCTGATTCATTCCACATAGCTCTGATTTTGTCTGTTAAAACAATGAGACCTACTTCATGAAAGGAGATGAGGTGATAAAACTATTATTGGACTGCAGTGCTTCAGACAAAAGGTGGAGATTTTCATTTTCATTTCTCTCTCTCTCTTGCCAGCATATATTCTTATTAAAGTGTTATGTCTAACAATCCTGACTTAATATCCTGGGTAGTAATTACATGCCATCAAATCAGTTCCGACTTATGGCAATCCTTTGCAGAGTTTCATAGACACAGAAGTGATTTTCCATTCTTTTCTTTGGGGGCATTCCTAGGGGACTGGAGAAAGCTGGCATATGAAGATGGGAACATCCATGCCAGTGTGTGCACATGCAGAGATGTAAATATCAATACTCCTTAGATGTCTGTTTACTCCACGTAAACCTACCCTCTACTGAAAAAGGTCTATTATTTGGCTAGCATTGCCTCTCCAGAAGTACATCAAGAGTTGCTAGCAAATAATGAACAAAAGAAGATAATTTGAGTGAGGATAGTACCAGTCCTCATGGGTGCCATCCTCCAAGATGATGGTTACAACTGAGGAAAAGTTGTCTGTACAGACAGAATAATAGAAAACGTAGAACCATAGAAAAGAGAAGTTGCAAAGGGCCTACAAGGCCATCAAGTCTCTCCCCTGCTCAATGCAGGAATACAATCTAATTTATCTGCACATATCCGTACACAGAAGAGGCTAGGCTAAACCTGTGGAGAACAAAAAACAGCACACCTTGCCAAATGAATGGATGGTGAAGTGTCTCCCACCAGATTATATCTGGACCACCTAGAAATTACTTAATAGACTTCAAACTGAAGGAGGAAATTCAAAGAATAATCAAGTAAAATGGAGCTTCAGTACTTAGATACAGGACAAATTTTCTGTGACTGTGGAGAAGTTCAATCAATGCAGCACTCACATGCATACAATTTATGCCCCATCACAGGTACAAAAGAAGATCTAACAAATGACTGAAATAATTGCTTCTGGTCAAAAATAGTCTACATTTTAATTTGTCTTTAATTTTACCTATATTTCATATACATCCATAATTTTAAATTGTGCAACACTCTGATATGAATAAAGAAAGGTGAGGTGTCAATGAAAAAGGGTTTTAAAATAGCCAAGTCTGTAACAGGCTATCTTTATATGGCACAGGGAGTTCATCTTTTCCTGGTGAAAATATTCAGCCATATAATTCCACAGCCTGCCATTTCAAATGGTAAATTTTTCAACACCCCATTGGCTGTTTGCGTGAATTTGTGAGCATACCATAACCATAGAAACACATGGACAAAATTTGAACAGATGCAGGATACAGCTATTTGAACTCTCTTGCTGCATTTCATTTCATGTCACTATGGAGCCCTTGTATATTGGCACCAGTCTATGCACACATGGGTTCCTTCCCCCAAATCTGAAATGTGGTTCATGATGTCAGCTCCCACCCCACCCCCCGACACACACACACACACACGGGATCAGTGTGCTTCCATCCAGTATTTTGGACCAGAGAACATGGAGGGGAGAGATCTAAGACGCAACTGTAGGAGAGCACACAATAATTTAGTTTTCCATTTCTGCTACCCCACCCCCCGACACACACACACACACGGGATCAGTGTGCTTCCATCCAGTATTTTGGACCAGAGAACATGGAGGAGAGAGATCTAAGACGCAACTGTAGGAGAACACACAATAATTTAGTTTTCCATTTCTGCTATACACTGAAATGAAGATGTCCAGGGACATAAATGACGGTGAAGGCCAAATTGCACCAGTTACACTATAAAGAAATAAAAATGAAACCAGGTCTGCCACGTACACATCCTTGTGGTAATGGAATGTCATGCTACAGATGGAGGACACTCTATTTCAAATCTCATCCATATAAAACAAATTCCCTGCAACCTGAAAATACCGTAAATGTAGGGAAGAGAGTTCTAGCCTAGCCCTCTCTTTGGCATGCTAGTTTTCTGGCTACAAGGAGGGTTTGAGCTTGCTTTGAATTGAGGAGCTGATTGCCTTGATCATGCTGCTCTGCCTGGTGTTCTCCCTTGCTCTCGGTCTTCCCTTCTTCCTCTTCCCCTTCCCTCATCACTGCCTCTTCTTCCTTCTCCTACCTCTGTGCCTCTTCATTCTGACAGCTGCAAGTGGATTGTGAAGGAAAACTTGAGGCACAACATGAGAACTCTGTCCAGACCTGTTCAGCGAAGCAGGCATGAGTCCGCACAGGAAAAGGAACTCAGATCCTTAAGAAGGGACCACAGAGAGAATGTGTGGAGGGCAAAGTGGTTGGCTGGCTGCCACACGGGTGGCATGGGGCCAGCTTGGCCTTGTGGGTGGCATGGGGCCAGCTTGGCCTTGTTCCATTCTTCTGGGACAAGGCAAAAAGGCCTTCAGGCCTCATTCTAAGCAGGACAGAGCCAACACCACCATTGGGCAGGGTGAGGCAGTTGCTTCAAGTAGCAGGTTTGGTGTGTCATGAAAAGGAATCAGGCAGTTATTATCGTTCCCTTTTTACTGCAAAGGTCCTAGAAAGACACTGGTGGTGTTTTCTGCCTCATGTGCCAGAGTACCAGAGCTGAATTTGGATACTATGCACCTCGACTTTAAATAAGGCAGTGTCATCAAGGCCTAAGAGACACCATTTCCTGCTCTTTCTCAGTAGGCAATATGCATTAGGATAGCCCTGATCTTACACAGGTTTGCAGTCTTGACAGTTTTTTTTCCCCAGGATGTAATACTACCTGTTCCCCGTTTCAGTGGACTAAGTCTGCAAGATACAGACAGCCCGGGTATGTATGGCAGTTCATACCAAAGTGGTAGTACTCCTTCCTTTGGCTTTGACCTTCTGAAGAAGGTAGCCACCATGGGATTTGGACAGTGGTTTCCCCCACACCCCACACCTTGGGTCCTCAGATATTCTTGGACTTCAACTCCCAGAAATCCTGCCCAGCATAGAGAGTGGCGAAGGCTTCTGAGAGTTTTAGTCCAAGAACATCTGGGGAGGCAAGATTGGAAACCACCGGGTTAGGAGAGAGATAGAGCAGCCTGGTGTTCCATCGTTATATAAATGTCAGGCTTGGACTGTACAAAATCCCCACTGAGTTGCACGGAGGTTTATAACAGGAGCCTAAATTCAGAACCAAGTGAGGCACATTGATCTGAAAGATGTTATTTGTAAGTGTCAACATTTTCTGGAGAATAGGCAAAGACAAGATAGGAGAGGGAGAGAGAGAGAGAGAGAGAGAAAGAGAGAGAGAGACTCGCCCAGCACCAGTCTTCCATTTGCTCCCATGGATCTGAAGGAAGCCTAGCACCATCTCTTTCCATGTTAGAGACTGAAGAGTTAACCAGTGCCACCTCTCTCCCGTGATATCAGCTCACATAAAGGTGAGATTAGAGTTTCTGGGAAGGAAGCCCCCCCCCCCAGCCTTTATCAACTGGTAAGCACGGCTACCAAGATGGAAATGCACCATTTAAGCTGTCACCCTCTTGTAATTTCTCTGTGAGCTAATCATTAAACAACTCCACTACATGCATCTGTCTCCTGTGGTGGTGGTGATGGTGGTGGTGGAGACCTTATGGCTAGGGGAGTTTCATGCCCTGGAAGGTGCTTTGTCATTTTTAGCGCTGCATGTCAGGCTCAGGCTCGGGCCTTTTTGTAAACTGCCCTGTGAGGAGGGAGCTGTCGCTCAATGGAACTGAGGCATGGTGTTGGGAACAGGGCTGAGGGGTTTTAAAGTTTCTATGCCTGGAGTGTCTGTTTGCTTATTTCTTTATTTTCTTACATTTCTATTCCATCATTCTTTCACTGATCCACACAACAACCCTGTCAGGTAGGTT